ATGAAAAATAAGTATTTATTGTGGTGATGGGTGCACAGCTCTATAAATAGGCTAATCACTGTTGCATTGTGGGCTTTAAATGGGTGACTTACGTGATATGTACTTTGTATATCAATAAAACATTTACCAAAAAATCAAATGAACTGAGAGAGGAGATTGAAGACAAGGTCTCTATTGGGCATTTATCTTCATGAATTACTCTGAGCCTGTAGTGCCCCAATTTATGCAAATAGATAATGGAGAGATAGTGGCACGTTTTCTCAGGAGACACTATAGCCAAACCACTTGGGTAAAGAATGAGTCTCCTAGTGCTTCTGAAGCTGTGAGGGCAGTTTCATGGGCCTGACATTTGCTTTCTGTATGGACAGCTCTCCCTCCTGCACACAGCTCACAGGGCTACTAGTACATACAAAGGAATTGTTTTTTATGCTTCTTTCTTGTTGCTCATGTTATCCATTTGAAGGCAATTATTAATGGTAGTAATCCTGTAGAAAATAGATAATCCTTTATAATTAGCCTTGAGAAGTTGACATGTATGTTCTTGGTTAGATCTGTATTCAGCAGAGAAACTTGGAATAACTGCAGGTCCAACTAGTCAATCTGACTTGTAATAGTGAGGACTTCCAGCCAGTAGTCCCATCATCACCTGGGAGCAGATACAGAAATGTCTCCATCCTAGACCTAGTGAACCTGAATCTACATTTTCACTAAGTCTCCAGTAATGCTTGTGTGTATTCATATTTGTGAAACTTCTGTCCACAGAAATTGGGACTGTGAATTCCACCTTTCTGCAGCTACCTTTGAATGAAAGTACTTAACCAATACTGCAATCTCTACCCTCCAAGTCACTAAATGTAAGGGATAATCTTTATGTGCATCAGCACCAATGGACAGGCTTACTTCCTGAAAAGACTTTTTCTTGTGGCTTGTAGTAGGTTATTCTTTCCCTGAGTTACCTCACTGGCCATTTCATCTCAACATCATATGCTGGTTCCTCTTTGCTTTCCTGATCCTTTGACTTTGAAGTGTCTTTCTACCCCTTCTATATCTACCTTTCTATTGGGGATTTTATCTAGTTCTCTGGCTTCTAGACTATCAGCTCACTGATAACTCTCTTTTTCTTGGATTCCAAGCCCATAAATCTAACAGCTCTCACTGGGTGCCGATATAGCTACTCAGGAGGCTGAGATTTTAGGATCATGGTTCAAAGCCAGCCTGGGCAGGAAAATCCATGAGGCTCTTATCTCCAATAAACCACCAGAAAACTGGAAGTGGTGCTGTAGCTCAAGTGGTAGAGCACTTGCCTTGAGCTGAAGAGCTGAGGGACAGCGCCAAGGCCCAGAGTTCAGGCCCCACGACCGACAAAAAAAAAAAATCTAACAGCTGACTTTGGTTAACTCTGGATAACATAACTAATAAGCTTCTTCAACTTAGCATGCTTAAACTAAGCTTCCAATCATCTGTCCAACACTTGCTTTTCTGCTTACTGGCAATTCTGTACTTTTGCAACTTGAACTACAAATTTCTAATAAGGAGCCCTCAATGACTCTGCTTTCTTTTTTTGGGGGGGGGTCCAGTCACGGGGCCTGAACTCTGGGCCTGGGTGCTGTCCCTCAGCTCTTAAGCTCAAGACTAGTGCTCTACCACTTGAGCCATAGCACCACATAAGCAAAAAGAAAAAAAGCCAGAAGTGGCGAGGAATCAAACCCAGGACCTCAGGCATGCAAGGCAAGTGCTCTACCACTGAGCCACCTTCCCAGCCCCAATGACTCTGCTTTCTCTTCCATTGCCCTTATAAGCAGTCAGGAGATCTGATCTGCTCACTTCCAAATATATAATAAGAAGTACAAGTTAAAAACAGGCAAAAGGGTTGAATAAATACTTACCCAAAGATCAAAGATCCAGAAATGGTACACATGAAAAGATGTTCAAGGTCATTATTTCTTAAGGAAATATAAATTAAAACCACTATGAGGTACCACTTCACACTCAGAATGTTTTTTTGTGTGTGTGTGCAGGTCCTAGGGCTTGAACTCAGGGTCTGGGCATTGTCCCTGAATTTCTTTTGCTCAAAGTTGGTGCTCTACCATTTTAGCCATAGCCCCACTTCCAATTATGTAGTGGTTAATTAGAGATAAGAGTCTTGTGGACTTTCCTGCTAAGGCTGGTTTTGAATTTGATCCTCAGATCTCAGCCTCTTGAGTAGCTAGGATTACAGACATGAGCCACCTATATCCAACTGTTAAAAGGGAGGAGAATAGTACATGTTGGTGAGGAAGTAGAATAATAAGAATCATTATTATTTTATTTATTATTGATAATTTTGTATTGCTCCTCAACTTTTAAAGGTTGCTTAACATTGCTTCATTAAAAAAAAATCCTAGCCTGGAATAGGCGAAACCCTGGGTCTCCTTGGCACAGGCCGAAATTTTCTTAATAGAGATCCAGAAACACAAAGAAAGGTTGGACAAATGGGATTGCATGAAATTGCAGAGCTTCTGCATGGCAAAGGACATAGCTAGCAAGATCAATAGAAAGCCCACAGATTGGG